GCCCTTACTTTTTTTCTTCTTTTTACATTTAGTTGTGTCTTTCATGGTTTCCAGCTGGATTTTGTTTGTTGCAGGGAAAGGGTGGTGGGTTTTACTCTACTGTGCCCATATCATTAAGTATTTGAAAAGGGAGCTGCTATAACCACGCCATATTCTGTCACTTTCCCCAGAAGTTCTCAGCAACACGTTTAGATGGCTAGAGGTTATTTCTGGAGATTCCTTATTATTCATTTGTGAAACAAATAAGCATGGTGTGTCTGCCGTATGCAAACAGGTTTCTTAAAGTTCCAGCAGAAAAGCACAGTATAATCGACTGCTTTTACACACTTCCCTGCCATGATCTTGTACCAAATGTTTAGGTAGTTAGGTGCCATCAATCAGTCCAACACACAGCAACACCACTCATTCATCACTCTCACAATTGTTATGTTTGAGCCCATTGTTGTAGCCACTATGTAAATTCATCTCATTGAGTGTCTTCCCCTTTTACAGTGATCCTCCACTTTATCAAAACATCATGTTTTGATAAGGACTAGTCTCTCCTGCTAGCATGTCCAAAGTACATGAGAAAGTCTTTCCATTTTTGCTTTCAAGGAACATTCTGGTTCTACCTCCTCCAAGACTGTTTGTTTTTCTGATAGTCTATGGCTCTTCCCAAAGTCTTAACCAACACCATAATTCAAATGTTTTCAATTGTTCTGTGGCTTTCTTTACAAATTGTTCAACTTTGTAAAGAAGTGATTGAAAATACCACAGTCTGTGTCAGGTGCAACTTAATGCTTAAAATGAAACCCTGTTCTTCAATACAGAAATATTGTATAACACATTTCTCCAATGCAATGCATCATTTGATTCCTTGACTGCTGCCTTCATGAGATTGTGGATCCAAGCAAAATAAAGTCTTTAACAATTCCAATCTTTTATTTCTCATCATATCTATTGGTCCAGTTATAAAGATGAGTTTTCTTTACATTGACTTGCAATCCATTTCCATCAAGTACTTCAAGTCCTCTTCTCATTCACCAAGCAAGG